AAATACCATGACCGAGAAGGTCGAATAGAATTTTTTGATTTGCGGCGCCTTTTGGGTAATTGTAGAAGTTAGTTTTGAGGATGTGTTGGACATTAGCGGGATTGGCTGTCAAGATAGTGACCTGGCCTCCTAACCTCTGCAAGGTAAATGTTGCTGAAGGAACATTTTGCAGAATAGAAGTTACCCACTGGAGTAACTGGTTTTGGTTGGCTAGAAAAGAGAAATAAGAGCCCACTATTGGGTAGGACTTTGGAAGAATTACATTAGTGGAAGGATATGAAGATGATGAACCTTTAGGTTTGGAGTTTCTGGTTCTGGTTATGAGAAAGAAGACGAGTGAAGTGAATATTAAAAGGAGAAACGAAGTTAGAAGATGAAGCGACATGAGGGATAAAGATTAAAGTTGTGATATTTTTGAGTTTAATTAGATTTGGATGTGAAGAAAAAAGAGAGAAGTGTTGGGTTTATTAAATAGGGAGAAAGTCATATGGGTCAAACTTGGATATTTTTCAAAAGACCTGTCACGATTCCTTAATTTGCTATTACTGGCAAATTGGCTAAAAGGTGATTGAGAATTTGAAATGTGAAAACGAAAAAATCATATTCAAGAAACGGAACCTGGGTTTCCCTTCTTTTCTAGAAAATACATGCAAGAAACGTATGCAAGATCGTCACTGCCCTGCCACGTGTCTTTTTAAATTCTCTATTTCGACAAGTCACTTAAATTGACGAAACTTTAATTGAATTGAATCTTTGGTTGTGGAGAGTGGACAAGGAAAGTTTCAAGGTTGTGTTAGATACAGGATAGTGTATTACCGAATATGTTATAATAATAGAAAGATATTTTTTTTTTTAAGGATTATTAAGAATATTTAGATAAATGTTTTTGGTTAACTAGAATAAATTGATAGGTATGTTATATTAATATGTTTGGTTGAGAGGAATAAATTGGTGGGTATATTATTAAATTATTAATTTTTTTTTAATATTATTTTTATTATTACTTTTTGAATAATTCTGGCTCTCTCTATTTCAGATTTAGCTAAAACACCTTAACAATAAAAAAAGTTTAAAACTTAACAAAAACACCCCATTCACCTTAAGCCACTGCTCGTAACTTGCCACTACCGTCGACGACGGCGACAATGGAGATCTGGCCGTGAAACAAACAAAAAAATCAACTAAAAAAATCAAAGAATATTTTTAAAAAATAAATATAAAAAAAATATTTTCAAAATATATAAATTAAATAAGTTATATTAGTTAATTTTATAATTGGTTACAATTAAAATAAAAATCTGAAGAGTTTCTTAATGCAGCAGAGGTTCTGTGGGTCTTAATCGAGGCTACCTTTCTTCTCGGCTTCTCCATCCAAATGTGGACATTTCTCTCCTCTTCCGCCAAGCCCCATTTTTTATTTCAAACCCTAGGACCCTGACCCTAACCTCCACTTTCACTGCTACTCGCCTCTCTATCTTTCTCCACCTAAAGAACAAACCCTTCAAAGCCTCCCTTCAAACATTCAAAATCCCAACTCACCGATTTGCCTCACACAATCGCCAAATTTTATCTCACTCAATAGCCAAATTTTATCTCTAATATTTACTGTATTAAGGTTGTTTGCCAAGTCCCATCCAAAACTTTGCTCTCCCTCAAATTGTCAACCAATAGAACATCCTCAACTAGCTATTATTGTTAGAAAAGGTGGAAATTCAACATCTAAATAATTACAAATCATGCATAGATAATAGAACACTGAATCAATAGATTTAGGGCTTTAGGAATACATGTCCGAGCCATGATGTGTGCAAGATTTGTTAAATCCTTGATTGGTCTTCCTCTCTAGAATCTGCTCTCAATGACGACTTTTAAATGGGTAATGCATACGCTTTGTTTCGGAGAGGAGACCTAACCAATATATAACGTTTTACTGGTCCCTTCCATTACGGGCCCAAAAAACCCAAAAGCCTACACTTCTATCATCAACCCAGATTATTAAATAATGAAGTGTATTAAGCTATAATACATGATCACATTAGGCCCAATAACAGTATCTCGTAGGACTAAGTGTGCATTTACTCGGTTTTATTAAACCAAAATAGAATTAATGTTAGCCCATAATTAGGAAATTTTCAAACATTCTCCCACTTGGGCTACATTAATTATTTTATTTTATTTTTATCTTAAGAAAACAAAACAACTTTGACTCTTGAGTAATCAAAACAGATATTTTATTTTAGAGTAGCCACTGTTTGAATAAAACAAAATAGTCCACATATGACATTTCAACCAAACAATTTAGCCATTATGGTTATCAATAATGAACCAAAGTAATCTTTACATCTTTCATAGATATAAGATCAATCCATGATTACAATTACTAATAATCAAATTAACATGGATCACTAATCTGGGAGTGTGGGAAGAATAACACCCAACAAGCAAGTGATCATAACATGTGAAATTTTCCTATTAGTCCTCGTCAAGATTCCTCTTTAACCTTTATGCTTTAAGAAAAGCTAGAGAAATCTCACAGCTTCCAACGAAGTCTGTATTTTTCAACCAATAATCTCAAGATATCCAAACATGCAACATACCTATACATCTGTCATTCTTGTTAGGGCCAAAAAATGTCCCCGACCTCAGTAGGCCCGAAGATGAAAACACATTCAACAAAGCTCAAAGCCACGACCCAATTCCGATTGGGCCTATAACATAATTCACGTATTGGGTCCGCTCATTACACCTACTAGGTCGCTCACTGCTTGAGCCCAATCAATAAGGCCCCGATTTGCTTAGGCCTCACCATCAGCTTATCTAGGCCTAGGCCCGTTGATCCAAGATCACCAACTGGACCTAGGGTTTACTTAGACCCCAAGGCCATCTACTTCCTATTTCAGTACTATCCGAATACTCTTGAAGAGATCCATCTATATCCTAATTCGTCTAAGATCCGAATCTTAGGCTAAATAAGACTCATTCCCTTGCTAAGGCAAGGGAATCAAAGGCTTTCCTATTCACTAAACCTTAACCGCTATGGACTCGTAGTCCTACTAGGATTCAAAGATCTTACAACTACTATATATGTTGAGGCATGCCCTCTCACAATTCATTCAGTATTACACCTTAAGACCCCTAGTTCTCACCCTTGAAAGCTTTACATCACTGCCGTAGTTCTAGTCTTTGACTAAACTTTTTCGGTAACCCTCTCTTTCCCTTACCTTCACTAAATTAGCCTCATTCAGCCTTGCTGACTTGAGCGTCGGAGTGCCTATGGCAAACACCACCCCGGTTTTTTCTATTGGCTTCATGCTTGTTTCTTTGTGTGTCCAAGTGTAGCGGATTGCTAGTGGCCTCAACTTCACGGGATCATACCACCCATTCCGTAACTGTAGATTTTACTGTCTACAGTTTGGCACCCATCGTGGGGCCTCTGGCAATCATTCATCTCTCAAACACGGCTTAACAAGGAAATTCCTTATGGATGAAAACTCAGACAACACCAACCCTAGTCTCGAGGCCAGGCTCAAAGCTCTCATTGCTTTTATGCAACAACACTCGGACAAAGTCGCAGCACTAGAAGCCGAAAATGCCACCATCCATACTGAAAACGCCTCCATCCGGGTCAAAAACCAGATTCTCAAAGAAAAGGTAAATCAATTCTATAATCTTGAGCTTCAACCTTACCAGGTACAGACTAATCGCTTCCACACACCAGTCATGCCCATGCAGCCTTTCCAGACTCCTAATCCTAGACCGTCTAATGTGGACACCCATTCATCCCAACTCTATTCTTCACAAATGGATGGTTCAGTCCAGAATCAATCTGAATCCGGATAACAAACAAGGCCGCTCTTGGCTGACCCTTTCCAAGCACATGATCAAGGCAACCAAGTAACCCCAAGCCTACCGCAACAAGAACTCATTCTTAGCCTCCCAACTCATCTCCAACCAATCCATCCAGATCAAAATCCACTCGGCTCGACTCACCCTCACGGAGCGAGTGGACTCCCACACCTACAATCCGCCTTGCTCGAGTCCATCGATCCTCACAGACCGAGTGACTCCCAAATAACCCCCCTCACTATTCATGCTGGCTAAAACACTCGATCAATCACGCTCGGAATCACTCAACCCGAAGGGATGAATGGAGATCCAAACTACCAAGTAGCCCATGATGAACGATTCCCCAAACTGCTCCATATAACTCGACTCATCCCAACATGTTGGGTGTGAGTCATATGTGAAACCAAGCCAACTAAGCCAACCTGATGGCCTCTGCCTCACCCTTGGAGCAGATACTGGCTAAAAGACTGGTCGACATGGAAGCAATGATGAGGCACATACCTAGAGTGTCGATCCCAACCAAGAAAAGCCAACCCCACAACTATTCTGATTCACCCTTTGTGGATGCGATTGCTCTAGCAAAGATGCCAAACAAGTTCACCATCCCTAACATGAATCCCTACGGTGGCACAACTAACCCATATGCCTAGTTAGTAAATACGGGTACGGCAAAAAAAGGGTACGGGAATTTTATGGTATAATATGGAAAAGATGAAAAATACGTTTATAAAAATTTCGCTATAAAATTCGGATACGGGAAAAATACGGTATGGGTATATACGGGTTTAATACGATACATTGTCAATAATATGTTTTGAAAAATACGGCAAGATCAATCTTAGTTTTAACACTTTTATGGACTATCTGGTTAAAATCAATATATCATTTCAAATGCAAAGTATTCAATTAACCAATAACACAAATACACAATATATAACTGATATTCAAATTATAGTCTCCAGACTCAAACACAATATTTAGCCAAGATTAAACTATAGTGTCAAACCAAACACATAAGTCATAACAAAACCAAAATTCAAAGTCGAATCAGAGCTCCAAACAAATAAAATACACAAATAATACAACCAAGATTCAAATTATAGTTTATAACAAAAACTCACAAAGTACATAAATAACAATAAGTCAATAACAACTCAAAAAAAAGCACCAGCAATGTCATCATTATCCATTAAGTCATCCATGTAACCCTCAACTGTTGGTGTAGAATTAGCATCTTCGTCCATATGAATTTCTTCATATTCATAGTCTGGAAGCTTCCCCAATTTCTCAAGATCTATAGGTTCCAAGTCGTGACTCATCGTGGAAGTGAACTTATCCATCATCATCGTGTTCATCCTCACATACACAAGTGTGTCTAGCATTTCATGTGACAACCTATTCCTTTTTTTTTTTTGAGCAGCTTCAAAGGCACTCCAATTTCTCTCACATGATGAAGCGCTACAAGGTTGACTCAGAATTCGAATGGCATACTTCTTGAGCATAGGAAGATCATCCCCATTGTAATCCCACCATATTCCTGCAAATGACATAAAAAGCTTTCTTGAATATAAAGAGAGACGCAATGTACAAAAAAGATATTGAAAATTTTTAAAACACTTACGAGGATGACTTGTTTGTAACATCGTTTTTGCCGTTGCAGTAAATAAGGTAGCTGGCCTACTACAATACAACTGAACCTCTCTCATAAATGGATGCTTTTCTTCTATTAGAAGCAGGTTTTCATAAATGAAATTGATGTCATCTTTCGTCTCCCTATCCCCTCTAAAATTTTGTGAGAAAAAGTAAGATGGATTGAGAAAGGCAACTACAACATGTATAGGATGAATGATGTTTTTGACCCAGCGATTCTCAAACAATTCCCAAATTCTCCCATACTTGCTTGCCTCACTATTACATCTTTCTTTGATTGCAACTTTTGCCCTCATCATTGCTTCATATAAATAACCAGCAGTAGATCCATCACCATCAACCAAATGAAGAACTTGAACTCGAACTCGAACCAATGGCTCAATAGTTTTTATAACCTCCTTTCCTCTAGTCCAAAAATCACTCTGGACAATTTCAGTGACCCTTTTACTTGATTCGGTCTTACAATAATCAAAACTCCTCCATTCAGATGAAGCAACAAAGAGTCGAAGTTCATTTCCCAAATCCAACACAGATTGAAGCATTAAAAAATTTGAAGCAAATCTTGTGGCACAAGGTTGTCTCAATTGTCTATCTTTGGTGTACTCTTTCATTGCTGCATGAAGAACTGTGTACCGTGTCATGAACATAACTATTATTCTTGCTTCATCTGCAGCAACTTTTACCCAATTAACTTCTTCATATATGTCTTTCAAAAGAAGCTAAATTCCATGAGCAACACACTTGTCTTATACATTCGAGGATACAATCCAATGAGTATGTCACCAGCAGATGTGAAATTGCTACCATTATTAGTTATGAATTGCACAACATGTTCTTGTCCAATTGATTCAATCACAGAAGCAACAATTTCTTTCAGATAAATCCCAGTTTTTATTTCTCGAGAAACATCCAATGATTTTATAAACACTGCACTGCCAGGTGAATATGCCACAGATTAATGAAAGATCGGTGCCTTATATTAGTCCATATATCAGACATTATAGTGCAACCAGATCCAGATGTATCCTAAGAACGCTTCACTATAGTAACATACTCATCAACACCTTTTCTAGATTCTGGAATTAACTGAGTTCGAAGAGTTGAATAAGATGGAAGCTTGTATGTTGCACCATATTCAGCCACTGCCTTAACAAATTCTCCAAAAGCACTAGTTTGAACAACATTAAAAGCGATATTATTCACCACAAAACACTTAGCAAACATTTTATCAACAAACTCCTTGTCTTTTTTCTTATTCATTAATAGTAAAGATGCTTGACTTTGACGTCTTTGGCTACCCTTAGAAAGTGGTGAAAAAGGTGAATCTGTTTCCTCCTCATGATCATTAGAGTTTAAAGCAGTAGAAGAACCGGCTGAACTTTTTAATTTTTTGTTACTTCCACTTCCAGACATAGCTAAGAATGCACATGCTTGTGTCTCATGATTGACTTCACTACAAATCTCAACATCATGGCCAGTAATTCCCGACAAGTGTGCTTTAATTCTGTAAGCCCCACTACTAAATACTTTTTGACAAAATTTACATTTCCATTTATTCCCTTGGAGCTCCTCAACATGCTCCCGAATTTTATCTTTTTTTCGTACCATATTGGTTTGAGTCTGTATTTACAAGAACATAAAAGAGAACATCATCAAATACAAAAGGAAAAAAGATTGATAAAAAAAAAAATTAATACTATTATTTTTCCGATTTGCTTATTATCAATCTCTACATCTTACTTAGTGTCATAAGGATAAAATATGATTTTGTAAATTATTTTCATGAAAACACTGAATTTATATAAATTGTGTGTAATCAAAATGTCTTTGAAAACACTTTCAGTGTTCGAATTTATAAGTTAACTAAAGAACAAATCATCCCAATTAATACACCCCATCTCAACTCCTAATTAAATAGCCAAATAAGGGCATTAAACCAATGAATTATAGTACCTACTCTTTAATTTCTTCTTTTTAATCATCCCTTGAATTCATTTAAAAAGCACAACTAGCAACTAGCTAAGTAGTAGCTTCTTTTCACATTTAATTTCTTCTTTTTAATCATCACTTTTTCTTACATTCATTTAAAGCAAAACTAGGCAACTAGCTAATTAGTAGCTTCTGATTCACGTTTAATTTCTTCTTTTAATCATCTCTTTTCCTTAAATTCTTTAAAAGCAAAACCAACTAAGTAGTCTGCTTCTGCACCTTTACAACACACAAAAGTCTAAGTGTCTAACAAGAACTGAACAAAGTACAAGAAGCCTTACTCGCAGGAGCACGCAATGGTGTTGCTCAAGGGAAGAGCTACGGCAGACCACAGGAGTGGACTGGATCTCAGTCTGAGAGACGGCAGAAGGAACTTTGTCTGCTGCTCAGTCTGATTTGGCTCACTGGCAGGGACAACACCCTCTTGAGGGACTGCAAAGCAACATATTGATTTGCCTTTTTCGGTTTACTTGATCCTTTACTTACTAGCCTTGTCTGTGCATGTAAAATCACAATCAAATATAAATATAACTCTCACAAGCATTTCATCAACTTTTCAAATAAATCCATCAATCCACCAGCCCTCCTACTACTACTACTCACACACCAACACAAACACAAGCAATCAACCAACGAGATCAAAGAGAAGAGAAGAATGTGTACCTTGAAGTCCCGAACTTGAAGCCTGGAAAGGGAGTTAAAAAGAGAAGAGAAGAAGAGATCAAGACCACGAGATAAAGAAAACTAAAACAACTTTAAACTTTAAAGAGAGCAATCCATTGAAATTTGAAGATTTGATTCTGATTATTTGAAGAAAAGCTGAAAACGTCAAAAGAGTAAAGAGTTACAAAACTGAGGATGAGAGAAAGAGATTTTGTTTAATTTGATTTTGTCAAACCCACCTAAAACGACGTCGTTTGGGGGTGACCAATCAGTTTTTTTTTTTCTTTTTTTTTGGTAATAATTCGCGAATTATATGGATATTCATATTATACGCGTATAATTCGGCAGCCCTTATAAAATACGTAAATATGTGTTTTATATGCGTATTTACTAACTAGGCCCAGATGACCACATTGCCTTGTACACACAGCAGATATTCACAACATCTATACCTCGACAGTTAAGGGAAGCCTGCATGTGTAAAAACTTTGGTTCCAACCTCTCTAGACCAGCCATCCAATGGTATACAAATCTCCAAAACAACTCAATTAGCTCATTTGCTTAGCTCACTAACACCTTCGTCGAGCAATTCGCCAGTAGCAAGAAACTTGAGAAGCTATCAACTCCTATACAGAGTCTACCAAAAGAGGGGAGAGCCCTTGGGAGAGTATGTTAGCAGGTTTAACAAAGGAAAATTCTTCATCCCATCTTGCAATCCCCAGACAACAGTTGATGCCTTCAGAAATGGTCTTCTTCTAGATGGGGAATTATACAAAGACCTCACAAAACTCAGTTGAAATACAATGGAGGATGCCCTAGCTAGAGTCGTAATCCAAATCAGATGGGAGGAGGACAAGGTGAATCGAATGAGGCACACCAGATATGATGACCATCACCAAAGACGGAGTGAAAGAAGGCCAAAATCTGGGCCGTATGAGCCCCATTATCAACCCTCACCTCGCAATTCGAGCAAAAACAAGAAACCATATGATTGCCAGTCAACTAGAACCACAAACAGATCATCTGAATCAAATCAATTCAAGATTTCAAAGTACAACCTCAACATCAAAACATCTCAAGTTGTGGTGATCATGAAAGGGATGGGACCCACCGTGAAGTGGCCAGCCAAGCTCAACCCTGATGTGAAGAGGGACACATCCAAGTGGTGCGAATTTCATGACGACTATGGTCATAACAACGCTGATTGCATTGCTTTAAGATTAGAAGTGGCAACTCTATTAAAGAGGTGACATCTATGTGATTTGTTTACACATAAAGGGAAGAATATAGTCAGCTGGAGAAACTTTAAAGAACCATCTCCCCCTCTTTGGGAACTGACACCAAAAGGTTTCTGCTCCATTATTTTTGGAGGGTTTGAAATTAGTAGGGTGAGTTATTCCTCAATCAAGCGGCACACCCGAGCTAGCCATCACCTAGGAGTCTAGTCTATTCATCCACCTTCTCCGGCACATACCAACCAGATCTTCTAGTTTGAAGATGATGAGCTAGCCACCTTAGCCACCCTATATCACGATGCTCTAGTCATCTCTCTCCAGATTGGCAACATCCCAGTCAAGAGAGTATTTGTAAATGAGGGATCCTCAGCCAACGTCCTCTTCCTTGAAGCAGTGAAAGCCATGGGACTGGATGAGTCAAACATCAACAAACGCCCAACCATCCTGGTTGGGCTTAGTTGGTTTAGTTTTGAACAGAAGTATACCATCGAAGAAATTGCCTTGCTTGTCTATGCCAGTGAAGTCAACAAATAAACAATCTTCCTAGTACTCGATTGCCCCTCCCTTTACAACGTCATCTTGGGTCGACCTTGGATCTATGACATGTGAGCTGTCCCATCCACCTTCCATCAAACCATCAGGTTTCCAACTAAGTAGGGAGTAAGAAAGATTAAGAGCGATCCCAAGGCCTTAAGAGACTGCTACAAGAACAACTTCAAAGGTAAAAGCCACACTTCATAGCAATTACAGAGCCATCCAACCCTTTCGACCAAGCTAGATCAACCAGCCATGGAGGAGTTGGATGAAGTGCAGATGCACCCGAACCACCCTGACCGTAAGACTCATCTAGGCTCTCGGCTCAGGCCTGAGATAAGAGAACGACTCATAGACTTCCTCAAGCAGAATCAGGACTGCTTTGCTTGGTCCCATGCAGACATGGTGGACATTAGTCTAAAGGCCATTGTCCACCACCTTCATGTAGATCCTGATCACCCTTCAGTAAAGCAGAAGCGAATAAAGTTTGCTAAAGAATGCAACTGGGTCATTAATAAGGAAGTTGACAAGCTGCTAAGTAACAGATTAATCAGAGAAGTCCATTATCTTGATTGGCTCGCCACCATGGTAGTTGTGAAGAAAAAGAATGGAAAGTGGAGGGTCTACATAGACTTCAAGATCTAAATAAGGCATGTCCTAAGGATTCCTTCACATCCCCCACATTGACATGATGGTTGACGCGACAACAGGCCACGAACTCCTAAGTTTTATGGATGTCCTCTCGTGTTACAACCAGATTCTGATGCATCCGGACGACCAAGAAAAAAACAACTTTCATCACAGAGAGGAGAACCTATTGCTACAAAGTAATGTCATTCGGCCTTAAGAATGTCGAGGCCACTTACCAGCGGCTGGTCAACAAAATGTTTGTTGAACACCTTGGAGACACAATGAAAGTGTATATCGATGACATGCTCGTCAAGTCTCTCATGGTTGAGCAGCACCTCGACTACCTCAGCCAAGCATTCACTGTCCTTAAAAAATACAACATGAAGCTCAATCTGGCCAAGTGTTCATTCGGGGTCTCATCCAGTAAATTCTTAGGATACATGGTGACTCAACGTGGGATAGAAGCCAACCCTAACCAAATTCGAGCGATCCTGAATATACTATCATCGACTTGCATCAAAGGTGTCTAGAGCCTTGTGGGGTGAGTGGTTGCTTTGAGCCGTTTCATCTCCCGATCTGCTGACAAGTGTCACATTTTCTTCGCCGCACTCAAGAAATCCAATAAGTTTGAGTGGACCCCTGCCTACAAAGAAGCCCTATAGTAGATGAAAAGGTACCCGACATCTCCCCCACTCATTTTCAAGCCTGTGGCTGGGAAAAAGCTCTACACCTACCTAGCAGTCTTAGAAACAACCATCTCAACAATATTGGTCCAAGAAGACAATGTGAAACAGCTACTAGTGTACTATGTAAGTAAATCACTCCTTGATGCCGAGACTCAATATAGTCAGCTGGAGAAATTGGCGCTTGTTCTCATCCAGACATCTAGGAAGCTCAGGCTTTATTTTCAGTGCCACTCCATAATCGTCCTCACCTCTTTCTTGCTTAAGAAGATACTTCACAAGCTAGAACTATCAGGCTGATTCACCCAATGGACAGTAGAGCTCAGTGAATTTGATATATCTTTCCAACCACACACTGCCATCAAATCCCAAGTGTTAGTAAAATTCATTGCAGACTTCACTCCTAACACTTCCGTTCATGCAAAAAAAGAGCTACTATGCATGACTAGTAAGACATCTTCAAAGTGGACTCTCTTAGTGGACAGCTCAAGCAATGTGAATAGGAGTGGGCTTGGCATCGTACTTATTACACTAGAAGGAGACATCATCTAGCATGTCATTCGGTGTGGGTTCAACTGTACAAATAATGAAGCACTAAATGTAGAACTCTTTCTAGCCAAGGAGATTGGAGTGAAAAAGTTGGAGGTGAAGTCTGATTCTCAACTCGTAGCCAACCAGCTGAAAGGGACATACCAGGCCCAAGACTAGAAAACGACAACTTACTTGAACCTGGTCAAAGAACTCCAGTCTGCCTTCGAAGAATTCTCCATCACCCAAGTCCTAAGAGCAGAGAACTCCTATGTTGGTGCCCTTGCCAACCCTGGGTTAGCCCTTCAAGGCTCCTCCCAGTTGTCCATCCCACTATTGTTCCTCC